ACATTTCTTATGTATTCTAAAGTGACTGATTGTGATTTGCAACGTGTCCCTCCATCCCTCCGTTTCAACAGCACTTGTATTCAGGAGCTAATGGAAATCCAGTCATCAAACTGAAGTAGCCTGCAACTACCTGTGTGGATTTTTTTGTTGTGCTGTGAATAAATAATCAAATTACAGAGCAAGGTCTGTAGTTATTTAATGCTGCTTTGGTGATAAAGCACCAAACCAACAGCTGTTTGTGTGATAACCGGCCTGACTGACTTTTAGCAAAAAAAAGCTTTTACCCGTGCTCACATGCACTGGCAGACCTGCATTGCTGAACACACCCACACACCAACGCTGAAAATCTCACACAAACAGGATATGTTGACTCAAAATGGTGGAATTTCTTTACTTTATTTGAATTATTAACATTTTCTTCCCTTTTTGTTTTTACAATTCAAGGTGCAATCTGTCTTTTTTGCACATGAAGATCAGCTTGCTTGTCATGATGAGTATTACTCAGCCTGTGAAAACACTTTTATCATCTGTGACTGCACAGAAAGCCTTAAAACCTTGTGGCGTGGAGTTTCAGACACATGAGCATTTACCAGAAAGCCAGGTTCAATACAAAAAAAAAATGCTATTGAGTTGTTTTATGGGACGTGAAGTATCCTGTGTTCTTAGAGTTTGACATCTTTCAGCTTAACAAAAAGGCAATGTTAAATAACTGGAGTATCCCTTTAAGGCATCCAACAAACTCTACTTTCAGGTGCATACCTTGTCTAGCACAATAATTGTTTAGTCTCCAACTCGACTTGCCTAAATGGAAAGATAATTTCCAGAGTAAACACATACTACAACAAGTATTACAGCTCCAGAATGTAAAAAATGTTCTAAATGAAAAGAAATCAAAGTATCCCCATACTTATCTCCGATGCATGCACCAAATTTATTGTCAAAGCTCTCAGTTTAAGATGCGCTAACAGTCTGTTTCACAAAATGAGTATACTATAAATTGGGTGTATGCAATGGAGACAAGTGCACAGCTGTTTTAATTCCTTTTTCGATTGCCATATGGAAAAAAGAAAATGAAAAGGTGCAGTGGATTTTTCATGTAAACAAAGATTCTAAAATGCATTGTTTGTATCCTTGAGGCCTAAGAAACGTGTTAAATGCATTTCCTTCCTCATAAAACATTTGAAAACAAAGCAGGGACCAACTCTCTAAAAATATTGCTCCATGGTGCTACTAGTGGTCAAAACCTTCAAAGGATACCTTTAAAAAGGCATTGTAGTGAAACAGTAAATCAGGACAATTGCCACCTTCCTCTTAAAATTTGATGAAACCTTGCTCCAGCAGATCAGTGCCTGCAGAGAGATGAATCTCTCTATGTGCAACAGTATCATGTTTTACAGCTGTCTGAAACAGCTGATGGACGATGGGGCTTAGGAGAAGTGGAGAGCAGATGAAGAGATCAGACAAACTAGAAGGCAATTTAAAGGCAACGGAATAAGAGCAAAGGAGAACGTGGAACTGAACTAGAAAAAGAAGGACTGAAGTTGTGTGCGGCAGGTTAAAATGATTAAGCTATTTCACTCCAGAAGGCAATTAGAGCTCAATTAATGCCATTTATCTCCTGCAGACAGGACGTCAATGGCCAAGAGGGGAGAGCATCACTGCAGGCATCTGTACTATCACACCATAATGACAGACAGAGGTCTCAGGGGAGGGAAAAGGGGATTCATTTGCTATTCTCATGAAGAGGTTTCATAAGGAAACCAGGAGAGGCAAAGTAAATGGGATACATTCACATCATCTGTCTGTCATGTTTTGACTAATGTAGCCATTTCAGCAGCATGCAAATATATAGGTAATTATCCTAGAATTTACCTAAATGTACAATAAATATGCAAGAAAGCAGCTGTATTCCTGTTATTGGTTGCCACATTGAGCCCATAAAGTCTTCCATGGTGACTCTGTCTCCCTCCTCTTGATAGTCTATTTCACCAGGTCACTCCACTCTGCTCCTCTAATGATTTATCGTTCCATCTCTCTTGTTTGCTCTTTGTGTGTCTCACTTTTTCACCATCATCCTTCTCCTGTTTTTGTCCTGTCCTGTGTCTCTGAGGTGTGCTTCACCTCTGTCTTTCTGTATGCTCATGCAATTCAAGGAACATTGTTATTTACTGTGTGCACTAATAAGAATGAAGAGCAATCTCAGCCATCTGTAATCAATACATCCACATGCAAGTCAGTATATTAGCCCCCCCCCCCCCCCCCCCCTTTGTTATGATAGTTCAAAGACTGCTTCTTCTTTTGTACCTTTAATGAAATACAAATATAGTCACTGTTTAAATTACTTAATTACAGCTGCTATTAAAGTACTGCATGTTGCTGGAGGCTTTTACAGCTGTAAATGTGTTTGTTTTAGTTACTGCAGACAAATTTTACACATATTCATTCAACACCTGCCATGCTTGCAGAAAGCCTAGCGATTTATTTACAAGACAAGTTAAAGATACAATAAAAATGCATTTACATAAATAAACTTTTCGAACTGTTACAACACATTCAAAAAGTGTCCAAATAGGGGTGGTGATGGAGCAGTGGATAAGACACATGCCTTTAGCGTGAGACCCGGATTCAACTCCCCACTGTGACATGTCCACCAATGTGTCCCTGAGCAAGACACTTAACCTCTAGTTGCTCCAGAGGCGTGCGACCTCTGACATTAATAGCAATTGTAAGTCGCTTTAAATAAAAGCGTTTGCTAAATGTAATAAATGTAAATAAACTGAACCCAATGAATTTCATAGCAGAAGCTTGCCTGGAACTTTTTATGACAATGGAGCAGCCCTTACATAAATCTTGTGTGCATTTCCCACACTGTTGTTGTCCTATAATACCCTCAACAAGACTCTGTGATATACAGAAGGTAAATATAACTTCTCAATCAACTCATCAGATGAGAGGTAAAGTTCTCCTTTGCCCATCGCTGAAATAATTCATGACATCTTCCTTCAACTACGCTGCGGCCTCTAGCTGGAGAGTGACACGTGTGGTGGAATATTTCCCCACCAGCAGCATCAAAGCTTCTCTATAAATACATGCACAGACGCAAACACACAATGACCCACATGCAAATCAAACACACAGGCTGCTGCCATGAGAGTGAAAATTTGGGTACATTAAAACAATTGTCCCTTTGGGATTCACAGCAGGGGGTGTACACGGAACAGAGAAGGAAACACACACACACAGCCAGAAAACATCACAGAAAAGGTGGGTTTCAACTCACTCACTCTTTATCTCAAGATGAGATAGTCAGTACTTTTAAGTAGGTTGTCATAACACATGTTCAGAGTAGTTAATTCATCACAGTGTCAGTTAAAAAGACTGATTGTTTGGTAAGATGGTGAAAACAATAAAATGTTTTTTTGTAAAATATGGTTGTGTTACCTCTCAATACCATCCTCCTTTCAAGCTGTGTTTTCAACATAAAATTTTTTTTATTTTACCAACTAGGCTACATTCTCTACATTGTAGTATTACTTTATTCACAAATTACATAACCACACTTACACTAACACTGCATCACAATTTTATGCTAAGTCTGAAGAAAAATTCAATAAGCTGACTATTGTGGGTGTTACAAGAATACAATGACAATTCAGAATGTATGTAAAAGTGGGAAAGCACTAATGTAAGAGAATGTGATAAGTGTTGCAGGGGAACCTGGTGAGTGTTATGAGGGAACACAAAAGTAATGTGAGCCAACAAAAAAGTTAATATTATAGAAATGTTTTTAAAAAGTCTTTCAGGGGAAGTTTATGGCAAATAAAACCCAATTACATGAAACTAAATGTAACTATAGCCTTAACTGAAGAATATGTTTGTGCTTTGGTGTTCAGCAGGGAGAAACCCATCACAGAAGACCTTCCACCTCTCAACCCCACGTTTCCATTTCACATCTCATCACCAAGAGAGCCGTCTTTGTCACACATGGCAAGACAGGGCTGAATTACAAATAATACAGTGTCGTAGTATTTGTATATTTAAACATTATCATTATATTGGAGGAACTAGGTACAGGGGAAAAAGACAGCTTTAGGAACACTTTGCCAACCAATCATATTTTAGATTAAAAATGTACATAAAAGCAGAATTTCCTATAAATCTGATTAGGCCTACATGCTGTTTTCTGTCTTTCTAAGGTTATATTATATATAAATATATATATATGCAGAAGAGTCCAGATAAACAGTCATTTGAAATCATGGTCTCATGGGGTTATGCCATTTCAAGCCAAATTAATAATGTGCAGTGTGGAATAAAAGTATCTTATTAAAACGCTACATATCAAAACATTAGTTGGTGAACTGAGCCCCTGCTCTTTAAAAATGATCAAACGGGCCACCTTCATGTCAAGCGTGGCGCATCCATGTGACTGAAGCATATCAACAATCACTGTGGAAAATTGGGGACTTGGGGGCTTAACATTACTATGAACCCACTTAGATCAAAATAAATCACTATAGGTCTATTTTCCCCCAACCGAATATATTTAGATTTTCCTTTCTTTTGTGGTAGCTACAAGTATTGCTGAATTGTTGCTGCACAGAACGAAAAAGCCAAAATGGTCAGGAACTGCTGAAGGATACGTCCCACAGACGCTTGATATCCGAAAATGCAAACAAACGATTAAAATCACAAGTCCAGAGGCTGCTTTCTGGCCCCTCATAAGTGCTGATCTGACGATGAGGTGATTTGTTGTTGTCGCCCCCCAGTCCAGAATCAAAACCGGTTCGGACCGTCTTGTCCCTCCACTAGACAGCCCACCATTTGTTTCATTTAGCAAAGGGTTGTATCCCTCTGAGAGCCAAGATCCTTTAAGTCTAATTGTCATAATTTAAATATATGCTGATACAGGCCTACTGTATTCCTAAAGATGTTTTCAAAATCATGAAGATTTTTTTTTTTTACATGAAATAAAAAAAGTACTCCGGTGTTAAACTTACCAGTTTGGTGAGTGGGAATTCCCTTTACATCCTACTGCAGGTGTCGTGCGCTGCGCTATCTCCAACACTGGACCCCGATTCAGTCCAGCACTCTTCAGGACAGCCGGCTGTCAGCCAAAAACGTGACCAGAATATTTCTCGTCCGTTTTGTCATAAATATTACAGCGGGAGGGAGGAGGGCGGGAGGGGGGAACCCAACACAGCTGCAGTTGCAGAGCGCAGCAGTGGCTGGTGCCCGCTCACAAATCAAATAACCTCACAGAGTTTTTGGCGTGTTTCTTTTAATTCCCCACTCAACACGGCTTGCTACACCTGTCCACTTTTACGCAGCGGACTTGTACAGCATCCTACACACGGACCGGCCAAATGCATGATTATGCGCTAATCGCTCGCTGGAGCGCAGTCGCTCCATCCCAGCGACCAATACGGTGATCCGTAAGCGGAGAGGGAGGGAGGGAGGATGGAGAGGGTTTTTTGTTGGAAGGGGGAGGAGACACGGATGCGGGAGAAGGATTGGGGGGCTGGTGGTGTGTGTGTTTGTGTTTGTGTGTGATGGGTAGCCTTTCACAAGGACGACCTGAGATTCCTCAAGGGTGAACGTTCCTCTGTAGTAATTCAACGAGATTTTCCAATAACTTGCATCTCCCAGACGCCCTCTCCCTCTCTCAAAACGTATTACACACACTTCACCTGCTCTCACTCAAAGGAAAATGACTGGATTCAGGCTTGACTTGAGAATATCAGTCCCCCCCCCCCCCCACTGTGGAGGAGGCTTCTGTCCATGCTTTGCTGCACACTGGGGGTTATATGTCAAACTCTAAATTTGAAGATGTGACGACCTCATCGATGGTGGAGGATGAGATAAAGACCAGATTCACAAAGTCATATTTTACCTGGGGATTATCATCTTATTGTAAGGTGCATCCTTCCAGCTGCTGTATGATCACTTTGTCACTATCTGCTGTGTGCAGGGATCAAGGTCACTGACTGTTAAATCTGTGACCTTGGACATCCAATAAATATAATGTCCCTGTCACTGCAGCTGAACGCTGATTCACAGTTGTTTTAGTGAGGGGTGTAAATTACTCTGCAAGTGAATATGAGAGGTAAATTGTGCAGAGGGAAATTTAGATAAAAGGTGTGAACACCTGGGTCTCCGAGGAGCGCTGGGGCAGCTGTTCACTGTTCATAAGCTCCCATTGTGGAATGTGTTCTGAAATCTTTTAAGACTTTATATGATTGTTTTTTTTTTATTGAATTGAATCAAAACAAGGCCTCAACAGATGATGGATTTATTGCTCTTTATATGACCTTAAGCAAGAAACATTTCATGCCTCTAAAATTAAACTACCCCCACCCCAGTGTTTCTTTTCCATCCTAATCTTGCCCATGCATTTCTCTTGTTGGTATCAGTGTCATCATCATCATCGTTTATAAGTTATTTCCTACAGTTGTGTCTGCAGAGTCTGCAAAGTTTGAAGTAATAGTTTGACATTTTGGGAAACATGTTTATTTGCTTTATTGGCAAAAGTTGAATGATAAGATATATACCACTCTGTTAGCCAGTTAGCTCATACCTAAGCTGAATATTACAATTACTTATTGCTACATGTTGGTATTTGCCTGGAATATGATTCAAACTGTATTTTCCAGGCCCAGGTTTGTTTCAGTGTGGATTGAACTACTGTTGTGCATCAATCTATGGCTTCATGTGTGTGTAAAGGGACTGCAAGTACAGAGTTTTGCAGGAAGACAGTGGAGCATAACGACTTTGCATGATCCCTCAAAGGTTGGACTAAACACCTCATGGTCTCAGTCCAAAGATTTTAGCAGGTTGTTGCCCCAACCCACTTCACACCCATCCCCTCTCTCACCATATTTTCTCTGTAGCCCACCTTTTCCCTTTTACTGCGCCACCCATTTGGACACCAAGGCCCCCCTGTGACAGCGCAGCCGCCTCTTTTTGTTCGTCAAACACAAAAACCCAGTGAATTGCCCTTGCTACCAATCTGAATCTCTTGTGAAAACGTTCTCATACAAATGCAAAGCTAGCCAGTGATTAGGAGCATCTGCCAAACACCCACATACCATATGCCTGTGTCACTCAGCCAAGGAAAAATACAGAAAAACATCTAAACATGCAGACATAATACTAGAAAGCAAATAAAAACACACATGATTTCAACAGAAAAGCTCAGAATGAGTCACAGACACTAGAAAACACACATACAAACACACAAAATATTCATACAGCAAACATTTATGTGCTGAGACATGATGCAGCGTGTGCAGCAAGATGACATAGTGAGAAACTGTGGGACCCACATTCAAACACCTTTCCCAGCAGGGATCTGTGCAACATAAAGGAAAATTCTCCTCACTGTAAATTTATCATCCATTTGTAATTTTTAGCACATTCCAGCAGCCTTCTGATGATACATGCTGTACATTTACTGTTTTGGTGTATACACCTTCTCATCTATTTCACTGATTAGCTGTTAGATTTTTCCAGAACACCTTTCAGCAACACCATGACAAGGGGCACGCAACTTGGTGCATGCAGCCATTGGGGTTCAGGAGACGCAGAAACAGCAGAGCACAGGTTTTCCAGTCAAGAAACTCCAAATGCAACATGTGACTGAGTTGTTAAATGTCAGTACAACGGCTAAAAAGAAAACCTTGCTCTTTGATTTCAAGGAGTGATAACCACATATGACCTTTTTTCTCTGATGTGTTAAGACCAGTGAAACATTTTCTGTCAAGCCTCGTTGTAGCTGCTCCGGAAACATCTCAAGTTGTCTGGATTTGGCCAATTATCCACAAGAATGAGGGAAAAACATACCGCCAAATCACAGGATACTAACTAGAAAGAGAGAGAAAGAAATAAAAACTGAATCCCTACAGGGTTCAAGGATGTTTTTTCTGTGGCCAATTAGTACTGTGACCTCCCTATTTCATCCCTGGAGATTTAGGCTATATACTGCAGCATCAGATCGCTTTTCTCCTGTCACTTTTTTTTCTTTACAAGATAGGGAATGGAAACAGTCAGAGGTCACGTTTCCCGATAAATGTGGAAATTAAGTGGAGTGATAATGTGCATTGGCTTTTGTATTTACTTTAGCCTCCGAGGTGTGGGTTATTAAGTACGTCCTGTGTCCTGTCTCACAGCATGCTTGGCCATAAGGAGGTCGGTGCCTCCGTCTATCAAAGACCGAGGCACCGACCTCCGGTAAACCTGGACACATGTCAAGACCTTGGGCCCAGCCTGGCTTCAGTTTCACTGACCGGACAACAGCAATAGAGAGAGAGGGTCTGGTTGCACCAAAGCCACCACTCACAAACTCACATATAGCCTACGAGTGATAGTATACAGTATAAAAATTGATGTTCATTATATTAGTACTTTGCTTTAAAAACCTGGGTTGTTCACACATGTAAATATAAATGCTCTGTATTTGTAAAGCGCCTTTCTAGTCTTTGCGACCACTCAAAGCGCTTTTACACTACATTCACCATTCACACAGTGAGCTTAAGTGCTCAAACAGAAACTAACATTCACACACAGGCAGAACAGTCGCAAGGGGCAATTTTGGGCTCAGTATCTTGCCCATGGACACTTCGACATGCAACCTTGACGAGCAAGGAGACTGAACCACCGATCTTCCGATTAAAGAGCGACCTGCTCTACCTCCTGAGCCACAGCCAACTCATATAACAATGCTAATTGCTGCATCATATTACAGTACTGAAACCGAAGCGATGGCAGATACTGATGTGGGTTTGCCAGGGTGAAACTACAATGCTCCGAAGATGGACTACAAAAACAGCATCTTACTTTGCCCTTTTCATGTCGCTTTATGCAGGCTATATAAACGTGGACAACCCAGTGAAAAACATCACATCACTACCAAGGTTGGAATTGAAAAAAGAATACATGCAGGGATGCTCTCAGTCAGTCAAAGTTGGGGTTGCTGAGAAAAGGTCTGTTTAAATAATGACGTCATATTAAATGGTGTGCGAATATTTATGTTTTTAGTATTCATTTGAATGGTCAAGATAACTTATATCCAGTATTTAAACACTATTTACAGCAATTTTCCACTACAGCAGACAGCCAACTTGAACTACATCATACTGTATGTCAAAGCAGCCACAGCAGCTGCACAACAACACATAACTAATGCATGAGAACTGCAGGAGATGAAGAGGGAGAGACAGTGTCTTGACGTGAGCGAGAGATGTGACCCACGACCAGTTCATCATAGTTTATAATAATGCAGCGCAGTCAGGAAACAGACCTATCATTCACAAGCGTCTGTCTGTCACTGTTAACAGAAACTCCAGTCTGCAGTGTAGTTCATTCACTGATAAACCACAGAACCGTAGAGTAACATTAGGCTTCATGATCAAAGAAAGTTCTTGTATCAAGTCAACACTTTTGTCCATGCTGCATGTACTCCCTCTCTCTCTTCTGCTGAGTCTGCTTTAGGTGAATCGCTTTACATGATGCTGTTTAAAGGTCAGGTGATCAAAGTGTTTACAATTCATTCTCTGCGGACCAACCAAATCTATTGTGACTTATGACTGAAAGTTTGGCCTGATGGTGTCTAGATGAGAAGTCACCAAAGTTATCAGAATGTGTAATCCAGGGACCGTGGATGTGTGTACGACATTTCATGGCAATCCATCAAAGAGTTGTCGAGATATTTCAGTCTGAGCCACAAATGTCAATCTGCTGGTGGCACTAGAGGAAAAGTCAGGGGATCACCAAGGTCTTCTCTCTCTCTCTCTCCCCATCTTCTGGGGACCACAAATGTCTGTATAAAATTACATGGCAATCTATCTGATAAGTTCATTTCAGTCTGGACCAAAGTGGTGGACTGACCCACAGATTGTACAACAGACATTGATATTCTTAGGGTCAGACCGGTAGCATGGCTAAAAACTGCTGATGCTCATCATGCACACGTGTCAATCAAATAAAACATAGCCTATTTATATGTGTCTGTGGTTTTTTTTTTTTGCATTTTTAATTGCACACCAGAAACTGAAAGACACTTGTGAAAAGAGACAAGTTGTTTGTGTTCTTGTTACTTTAATCAAATGAAATTTGAAACTTCTGTTACTTGATTCCCCAGTATTAATATTGCTATCTAAAAACACACTGCTACCACAGACTGGGGAGCTGGCAGTAAGGATAACAGCCACCTTTATGTTCATTTAGTATAGTTTTAAGCTCTTACAACAGATATTATACATGTTGAGAATATAATTGGGATAGGTTTAAGCACTGATTTATATTCAGACATGATTATGCGTGCCCTTGAATGCAACAGAAACATGCTGTGGACACATACTTCTAACTGACCTTATTATAATCAGAGAGAAAGATGGCCAGCTGGAGTGTCCCATA